GTTAGCTTTCATTTGTTTATCTTCTGGTTTGAGTGAAGTGAGACACAGATTTTCCGCGAAATCCAAATCTCTGGCCGTCTTTTTGTCAAACCGATGTGTGTAGGCCTTCTGATTCACGACACTCTGCTACGTGATCCAGCCGATCCTGTCCTGATTTCAAACATTTTCGTGAACTAACTTTCATCAACTTTTTGGCACGTAGCAATTTTAAATGGTTTACGAATGTTTGCGGCAGCAAACTGGTAGAACCGAAGCAGTTGTCCAGTTATTCCACAGACGGTGCCGCTCAGCACTTTAGAAAGTCGATGAAATCGAGTTACAGAAATGACTACCACGGTGGTCTTCATTGTGTGATGATGCGTAGTATTATGATTACTATAGTATTATCGTATGGTAGTATTATAATTAGGTTTACTCATAATTTACTTTTCCTGAATCCCGCCTGTTCCTTTCAGTTCAAATCTTATCTTGATCTTTCCACGATGATGCGGCTTAATGTTTTATTCGAGGTGAATGGAAGCAGATCTTGCATAATCATAGTTGAACAGTTCCTACTAGAGGAACGTTGTACTTTGAACGCTCAGGTTATGCACTGGGTGACAGGAGGGTGAGACCAGTAGCTACATTAGAACTGTGGCACATTCATTTGAAAGTCTTCTTGTCCATACCGAACGATAGTTAGTGATAGATGCCCATCTGGGTATCTAACTAAGCTTTCCCAAATTCACCTGTCCTTCAGTGTGCCCACTAAATATACTTTCAACGACCACTTTTGTCTTCCTACTCTAAACAAACCATCCATCGATGGATTTTGAAGACATTTTAATAATCCAGTTGGCTGCTGAAAGGTAAACGTTAGTCGGAAGTTCGACAAAGTAGCGTTTCTTCAGTGGGCAAGTGTTTCTCCTTCCTTCCACATCTTCTGAAGTGGTTGAATGTTCATGTCAACCGTGGTTTCTGGATTCGTTTTTAGTGCTTTTGAAGGATTCTGTCTGGTTCTGCTGCTACCCAAGCTTTTGGTAACTTTGCAGCCCCCCTCTGTTTTTGTGGGGAATGATGTTCACGGGTAGTTTCTTGTCTGCTGGAGGCATTTTTGAACTAGTTATAGGTGGTAGTCTATTCAGGATTCTTTTTTAACTGACCATCCCAGAATGTATTTCATTCCACCTTTTCGGTCTGCTTAACCAATTTTCACTGGCTTCTTCCACACTGATCCCTTCTTGGATAGCAAGTGGCTAGCCTACTTGATATGGCGCTCTGACATCTCTCTTACTTCAATCTTGTTCTCCGTCAGCAATCCATGTCTTAAAAGCACCTTCTGTATTTTCTACTACTGTTCCTCACCCATTCGTCTGGCGTTTTGTAGTTCATATTCGGTTCCCCTTTTCCTTATTTATCTGTGTACTGGTTCACGTGTGTCACCATCCTTTTCTACCGTGTTGACATCCATCCATCTGTAGCGGGTCAATGCTTGTCGTGCCCCTATCTAGCCTAAGATCCCAATACGGGTTTTCTTCCGTACCACTTCCAAAAAGTTCCACTGTTCTCCCACGTTGGTTTCCAAGGTGATATTCCATAATGTATCTTACGTTTCGCTGATACTACCATAAAGGTGACCCATGGTGGTCTGTCTCCAGCTACTTTGAAGGCTTTCACATGGGCCATGAAGATTCCTTGTGTTAGATGGCTGTCCCAGTTTATGTCTGCACCAATTCCCAAATTTGTGTCCATCAGGATTCCTCTCATCTTCCTCGAGAGTGAAGTGATTTTTGGTGCATCCATCTCTAAAAATCCACTCCAATTCTTGCATATCCTCGTGCTTGTACACACTGTCTCCAATCATCAAATCACCGAAGGTGCAAAAGTCTGTGAAGAGCTCTTAAATTTCACCCATTTCATCGTGAGCCTCTTTACTCCTTTTTTGGTATTTATGTCATCAACAGTTATTTTGACGTCACCATCTAGCTGGGGTCTCATCCATTACTGCCTGCATTTGTCTGGGCAAGCTGTCATTCTCTCCTTGATCTTAGCTGTCCGTAGGTGCAAAAATGTATCTGCTGGTAACTTTCCTACCTTTTGAGTTATATGTTGCTTTTATGATTTGATAGCAATTTGTTTTCAACTTCACAAACTTCACAGTAGGGTTGGTGGTGTCATAATTGTTTAGAATTTTTAGTAGCGACAGGGTTGTCAGCCTTGCTTACACTCTTACTACTCTTCCGGAGTTACGACCAGCTAGCAAACTGGCCAAGATTAGGTTATCCCATTCTGGAATAAATCATACATCACTCGGTGGACATTACTCGACTCCTGTCAACAACAAGTGGGTTTCTAGTTCCATGGACAGATGTTTACCCCCTGTCTCCGTTATCGATGTGTTGAATATCTCACGCAATATCTCACGATATGTAAGAGCTTTTAAAGAAGTGACCTTACCCCTCGATTCTTACGTTTTATTATTTCACTAACTTCAGGGTGATTTACGGATAACAAGAATTTAGCACGTCTGTGTTTAGGAACTTTAACCTTGTTCTGAATGTAACAATTCTGATGCACCTTAGCTGACGATCAAACACTGGTTGAGTTTGGGAGCTGTGGGCCCATCGGTTCGTTTCTGCGACGGTGCCATACGTCAATCTGTAATTTGAGCACCCATAAACAGGATATATTCGTTGCCGAATGGCTGTCTCTCGCTGTGGCCACGTTAAGTCTCCTGCAGCTGTGTCTTCCGAAAATTCAGCTAACTATTGAGAAGTGATATGGATTTTACCAATAGGTTCTTTGTTTTACTACTTGTTACACAGCAGTGGACTAAATCTCAGTTATCTCACCGAAGTCACCGGTGATGCTTGATGAACCACTGGAACATCATATAAATGGCCACATTTCCCATATTGTAATATACTTTCTCCGAAATTATTCTCCTGAATGACCCAGCGATCACAGATTATAATGGCCTTGCTCTGTATAGAGTCCTTTCTGCTGTGCCCACGGGAACCTTGCCTTCGAGCATCTTCTTGCATCACCTGTTTTGACTATTATACTGGTTTTGCATGTGGTGTACGGTACAAGATTTCTCTGTCATCATCTGAGCTTTGAATTTGTCTTTCATGGCCTTTCAGGTAACTGACGAAGCAGAGGGGAATTCGGTTTCAACACAGAATGGGAAAATCTATGCTGGTCAGATGAACTCCAAGATATAGTGTCTACTTTCCGTGTTGTCTAACAGGTAAATGCACATATTAAAATTCGAAATTTTGGAGGCACTTTTGGTATTGAGTATGGTGCATTGAGTATGTGCATTTACCTGGGAGATAAAGCCAATATTTACGAACACATGTGGAAATCTAAACCAGGTGGTGAGCTAAAGAGCATGATTCGGGAACATGAGGTGACGGAGAAAATTCTCAAGGGTTCTTGCCAGCCAAGTAGGAACACAGACCTGCGGTCTCAGAACCATTTTCCCCAAATGGAAGTGATATGTAGCCGACCCTAGGAAACTGCCCACTTCACTGGAGTAGTTTAGTACAGTTTCTGATGACCTCACCCTAACCGGGCCACATCTTACTCACTTGACTTATCACACTTCTTCGTTATATATCTGATAGTTTCTGTAAGCTGCATTGAAGTTGTTATTAGGGTTGTAAACATCGTCCTCGTGTTTCACCACCTTGACATATGGACCATGTGCAGCTCACTGCTCCATCATCTGCTGACAGTCGTATTCCCAAACCTGTCTTATTAATTCAGGTCATAAACCATTTATTTACACCTAAGATCTGTAGTTTACGAACGTGAGTACGAAAAGCAGCTATTCTCACCTTCCTTCAAGGCTTTTACTGCTCCCGAGACCTCCATTGTTGCCACACTGACAACTCCTAGCTATAAATTGAGTGTTACTGTCACGGGCTTTATTTTTGATTTTTATTATAGCTTGATTCCACACCGTACTTTTGGTACAAGTATGGAATTTTCAGAATGTGATATCGGTAGCCCAAATTTTGCAGGCCGACCAATTGATATCAGGTGTGCGTTGGTAGGAGATCGAACCCTGGACCATGTGCATGGTCGGCAAGAGTCCTAGCCGCTGTGCCACCGACGCACTGCGAAGGCTTGATAATGGCAAAAAGTCGCCGTAGAAGTGCTCAAAAGTTCGGCAGGCAATAAGCCTTGAAATTTCGCTGTCATAGTTCACATGTCGTTGGCTGTACTGGTCATTCTTGATATTAGCCTAGCATTAAGGATGTCAAGTAGTAACTCATGTTATGCCTCAGAACACCCAGAGCTTATCTACTCCCTTGAATTGTCGAAAAGACGTCAGATGAGGTGTTTCAAAATTGTCATTTTTGGCAGTACTGTCATGTGAAACCTCTCCGTGAGGCTCTAAGGATAGCTCGATTGCAGCAGACGGCAGCAGCCTACCACTTTTCGTGCTTTTGAGCTATTTCAAAAGCGTCTCTTTTTCTTTGGCATTTCATGAAGCCTTTACTAGAGACCAAGGCTTCTATAGGGGACTTATTAGCGAGTTCGGTAACAATACAATAAATCAGAGTGAAAATTCAAGCTAATGAAGGAACATTATGACAGTTTATTATAAAAATACAGTTAACGGATGAAAGGATCAACTCCATTCACAGTGGCAACATGTTCTTAACACACTACATACTACAAACCACATATAATCAATCCCAGCATCACTTATTTCGGAATCAACCAGAGCTACGTTAGTCGAGTGGTGGGACGAATTACTCAGAAATTTACTGAAGACCAGAAGCCTTTAGTCACTACCAATAAGCGAGCACAAAGAAATCAAATTGGTTTACACTAGGTCGTAAAAACGATATTGGATAATACTGTGAATGAAGAGGTGTTTGAATTCAAAAAAATCATTTTAAATTCCTCAAGTATCAGGAATGAAAAGGAATAATCGTGTGTGTTTACAGGAGACATTTATAATAGTAACGGATGCGGAACCTATGGGTCTGTTCTGTTCTGCTAAACAAATTTGAAGTTCAAGGTTGTTCTACGTGGTTTGACCTTGATGATGAGGTACGCTCTCGTAGCCTCTGCAAGTCTGATCCTTTCATCTATTATTGTATCTAATACCTACTATCGAAAAAAGCAGTTTTATCCGACTGTTGTATACCTCACCAATAACCAGCCTTCCCTTTCTGTAAGTATTCAGTTGAACTTGTTATATTTCACTACAGATTCTCCTTTTCCAATGTGTTGTGATACTGTTTCTGTTCGTTAGAGCACTCACTTATGCCTTCTTCGGTCGACTTCAGAGAGCGGAAGTGGATGTGAGTCTTAATCAGTATAATAACTGTCTTTAGAACCTTGTTTCTCAGTCATGGTATGCATTCTTCGACATGTGTTTGGTTTTCGCATTTTTTCAAAATGAACTGGGAACTGAATTCCTATTCTTGTTTGCCATACTTTTGTTCGTTCGGGCTTTCCACTGGTTGATTGAAGAAAGAGTTGATTATGTAAGCGCACCATATGATTGTTATTGGGTTCTAGATGGAAAGAACGCCTGCTATCAGTATCCTGTTCCATCTGCGAATTATGAGTAAGTCTACTATTCGCTTGTTATCTTTGTAGCGCTCATTACTCTACTTATGCTTATTGATGGATACTTTATTAAAACATCTTATTGGAGGCCTGCTACCCATGGGCTCAGTGTTCACTTGGCTTTGGGGGTTGAGGTGAGTAGACAATAATATATTTTGTGTTGTACAAACCTTAATTTATCCTATTAAAAATCTTTTTTCTCATTCTTGTCAGTTTGGAAAGTTAGAGATGGCTGGACTTTTCACTTTTAATTCTTGCTACTTTACGCCCATTGATGTCCTTTGAATAACGGTTATCTTACTTCCTGACTTCACTGATAAGGTACCCGTCTCCATACGAAAGTAGTGGTCATGGGGTAGCATGACATATACGAGGTAATTCAGGGTGGTTTGTTGCTTTATGATTCAGAACTATGACCTTATTGTGGGGTATACTTGAAAATAGTATCCTCATAATTTTTGGCTGTCTAACTCATCTGAAAAAAACGAGTTCAGAAATGTGTTTTCAGAGAGTTACCCTATACTATAGACCAACTCTTACTGTATCGAAGTGAACCTTATTAAAAATGTGACTTCATTCATTCTGTTCTTGGGGCTTATGCCAACCTGCTTTATAAGTAAACTACTCGTTTATAAACACAGCTATTAACTAATACCCTATAGGAAATTGCAAACTACTTGACGCCGATGTACTTCGAAGTTGATGACGGTAACATAATTACATTCATTGTATTTTTTATGTATTTAGCATGCACTCTTGACTTAATACAATGTTCAAGTATTGAAAATTAATCTGATGCTCACTAGTGACTGGCCATATTCAGGTAGTTAACCTGGGGTTCTAGTGGGAAGCCGTGACCAGTAGGGTACAGCAGGTTGAAGATGAGGCAGTAACTCATCGAAGAAAACGTTGCGAAATGGTCGCGCTATGTCGTGAATTGGCAGAAGTTAGAATTCAAGGACCATTGGATCGGGTCCCAGTGGCTCAATGGTATACAAGCTCGCCTTGTAACCAGAAGGTCCTGGGTTCCAATCCCGTACTAATGAAGAGTCCCAAATTAGGCTGACGAAACAGCTGTCCAGTACTCCCAGCTGGTTTTCCAATGGTTCTCTAACCGATGTCAGCTCATGATGAAATCCTCCATGCAATTAATAAAATGTTTAAAATTAAGCCAATGTATGTCTTACCTTATGTGTTCCTTCTTATTGTAACTAATCGATAAGCTTCAACCTAGACTTAAGCGTTCTTTTTAGTATACGGGTGTTGCTTCCTCGTCTTATGAGATATATGTGTCGTACATAATCTGCACTTTATTATTAGTCTATGTTAATTCTAAATGAATTTGACAGTATAAGTAAAAACAAGTGCGTACTGGAAAACACAACGGATTTTTCAAACAGCTGTGGTATGCGTTGTTTAGCAGAATGACAGTAAATGCTTACTGGTAGGCAGCTCTTCAAAAACCACTACACTTCACCTACCAGCTTTGAACGTCTAAATTGTGTTCCCAAAAATGACTTATTGATCTTCTCCATATTGTTGAGTTACCACAAATTATTATTGTATTGCAGTGTGATTCGTAATTGCTTTAGGAGATTAGTGATTTGATGAATTTCCCGAGCTAAATAGACTGTACTGTTATTTATCTTATAAAAACCTTTCATCGTTTGATTCTTTATTTTTTCACTTTCAGTACTTCATTTTGGTGTTAAGTCTCCTTTCTACTACCATACGGTATATTTTGCACTCAATCGATTCTATGCGAGAACAGTCATGGAGTAAAAAAGCTACATATCTTCTCTATGTAGATATTTTCATTGGATTCATACGGTTGGCTGTATATGTTGAATTCATGTTCATTATGTGGTCATTACATCCTTTCCCTCTGTTCATTGCACGACCAATCTATCTTAGCGTTAGATCACTGAAGAAAGCTATTCGAGTAAGTTTTAATATCTTATGAGAGCCTTCTAGTTGTTTTTTCATGACATTGTTTATAAGCGTTACATTTGTGTTTGCTATTTTTAATCTTCACTTTCGTTTGTTATCATTGACATTTCTTACCAGTGTGAAGTTAACAGAAGTTGTCTTTTCAGATATAGACATCAGATGGTTTATGTTACAAGCAGTACTGACTGACTGGTTTCAACGTAGAATTTTGCACAGATGTGCAGCAGTTCCACACCATGTAATACACAAAGCAAGAGAAGAGAGTAAAAGAAGATTCAAAAGAGATAATAAAAAGAAGGGGAAAAGAGTAGTAATATGGAAGAAAATTCGAATTTTTTCTGGATATGATAAATCACAAAGAGTGGATGCATCTGTGACAGCCATTGAGAACGATTTTGAGTCATATCACCAATTGTCTCCAGTCAGTGGTTTTCACTATCTAGAGTACCCCAACCAGTAAGGAAGTGGTTTTCATTGACTGGTGAAGCCATGCTTTGGCTTGACCACCACTAGCTCTTTTCCAACCTCATCTATCCTATGTCAACTAAAATTGCCCGTTGAGAAAGATGATGTCTAGGTATATGTAACACATGTCCTAGCCATTTCAATCGGTGTAGCTTCACAACCTCGTCGATTGATTTCTCCTCCTTACCTAGCACTCGAACGAAGCCTAACCTGAATATTGCTCACCTTACTACACCACTTAACACGGGAAATAGAACGCAGGCACCTATGATCAAAGACAGCTAGCCTTTTCATGTCTTCCACTTTCAATGACCATATCTCGCCCACAGCCATAAAGGAGGACAGAGCGAACTTCTGAGCAGTACACACGTCCTTTGGTCGACAGCCAGTCGGATATCGCGTCTATACCAGAGATGGCGCATGTGTAAAATTAGGTTGACTAGTTTATAACTGAGCGTTTTATGGAATAAGTGGTAATAATTCACGGGCTACATTAGCAAGTAACGGTATCAGTTTTCATTAACTTCATGATTGTGAAGTATGGAAATTAAGTGTTAATGGGTAAAAATAACTTCAAAAAGGAAATAGCTAATTAGTGGTAGCTGGGGTGTGTTGAATCGATATGTGGAAACAAGTTGGTTGCTTTTCACGAATTTGTGGCCCGTGAAAAATGATTTAATTAAAATCAAAAGTAGTATGTATTCCAAAGCAAACTACTAATCAGATAAATTTTCTAGCTCTGTAACATGATTCACATGATGTTTATTGAAACACAGTACAGTATTATAACGAAGCGTGTTTTACTGCCTTACTCAGGCATGCAATCGTAGCAATTCACTGTACTCTGTAGTGAGAGTAGTTTTTGTGATGTTTCTTTCATTTTGTTGGCGATTCTGGAGCTTGCAGAAATTGGCATTGTAAACTGTGCACTATGACTACGTCAGGGTTCATTCAAAAAATGGTATTGGTGTGTTGTTGAGATGAAGAGAAAGGATATTTCCAATGAATTTCTTAACGTCATTAAACTAACATTACTCACAGCATATTTGTTTCACAGGTAATATGACATCACTTTCCAAAATTTCATAGTCGTTCATATTTATTCTATTATGGGCAGTATGTCTCCATATTTTAGTCCTTTTCTATTTTTAAAAATCTTATTCCTTCGCATTCAGAGTGGGACATATAGCTTCAAGCTTGGGCTTTGAAGTTTCGGTAGCAGTGGTTTTATTTTTTTGCGGAGTGGGGTTGCTAGCCTCATGCCCAACCTTCCCTGTTTAACAAACTTACTTCCGGCCTAGAGAGGTTTAGCAGTGCATCTGCAGGGGATCAAAGCCTTACTTAACACAGACTAATATATAGAATTCCTGGAGTATTTCATGAATTTATTTTTTTACATGTGGCTATGGATGTCGACTGGTTTTAATGCATAGTTAACTAATGGTTAGGATGGGGTAGGATGAACTTATGTTGTCCTCGTGACTTAAAAACTTAGTGACTTATTGATGATGTTACATATGAATAAAGACATTTCTTAATTATTAATAAAATGTCATATTTACTATATCTTTGGATGTACAAAATCACTCACTATTTTTTTGTTTTTTTATCTTGCACGAAGGATGTATTGATGTCACGTCGTGCTATCCGCTATATGAACACAGTATTCCGGGATGCTACTGCTGAGGATTTGGCTGCCTCTTCTGATACTGTTTGCATAATTTGCCGTGAAGATATGAGTCTTCAGACGGATAATACACAACAAGCTGCAACATCTACTTTGAAAAAATTGCCCTGTTCTCATATTTTCCACGTTTCATGTTTACGCTCATGGTTCCAACGTCAACAGACTTGTCCAACTTGTCGTATGGATGTTATTCGAGAAGCTAGAATGCAAGAAATGCAAAGACAACAGCCTAATCGGGCAGCAACCACCAACTCACAGTCAGAGAATGTACCAACTTCTTCTGGTCAAACTAGTTCAACTGTGGCATCGTCTCCTGCTGCAGCTAATAATCAAAACTTGCATATGCCATGGATGGTAAGTTTCGTCAGTCAGTTTGCCATTAGAGTAACTCAAATAATTTTGAAAAAAACCTTATCAATGCATAGTAAATACTCTGTTGTAGTTCGACTACTGACTGACTAATCTGTCTAAAGGCTTTCACACAAATGTTTCAGTTCAAGTTGCTGTACTTGGTCATAGATGTCTACGATCTCTTTCTCACGTTAGGAGGTATAATAAGGTAAGTAATGTTGACGTTAGGCGTAGAGTGTTGGGCAAAGAGGGAAAATCAATCGAAGAGGCTGTAAAGTTACATAGATTGAGATGGCTAGGTCACGTGCTGCGCATGCCTAACCATCGCCTCCCCCGACAGGCATTACTAGCTGATATAGGTGCAGGTTGGAAAAGAGTAAACGGTGGCCAAACAAAACCATGGCATCAATCCATGAAATCCTTGACAGTTAAACTGAGTCAGGTAGGGAGATGCAAACTTCCGGGTTGGGGCCCTCGGGACTCTAAGAATCAATGACTGGAGACAATAGGTGATATGGCTCAAAATCGTTGTCAATGGCGCAAATGTATTCAGTCTCTGTAATCTTTCATATTCCTTTCTACCATTACTCATTCTGTTTCACTCTTATACTTGTCAAAACTCTATTGATTCTCTTCACTCATCTTCTTGTCTACCTTTGTGTGCTATTTGGAACGTGGCAACTCGAACTGCTGCACTTCGGTGCCAAGTTCTATGTTGAATCCAGAAAGACAGAGAGACTTGGTGAAGTACACAATATGAAGAAACAGAAATGCTAATTGCACCACTGTAGATAAACATAAGTGTAATGAAGAGAGTAGTTAAGCGAAGATCGGTAAATAACTTTAGAATGTGAAAGATAACAAGGAGTGACTTTACATATGCTACTGTGTTGATTTTCAGTCATCTTACAGAGAACGTCACCAGCCTTGAGAACTTCAGTCACGAAATATACACCTCGCTTTTCAGCTAGTTTAAAAATGTACTGATTATAAGTTAACTGTTCTTGCTGGCAGATATATTCAATAGCATTGATTCAATAGACGGTATCGTGGTATTCACATGTGTTATGCAACTGTGTATATATACCTTGAGAAATACTGTCTCTCTTTTCAACATAGAACTAACTTTTCACCGATGTGAAGCAGTTGAAGTCGCCACACTCCATGTTGCACACAAAGCAAGAGAAGAAAGTAGAAGAAATGCAAAATACAGACAGTAAACAGGGATATAAAGATAGTGATATCGAAGGACAATATAGTTTCATTGGGTATCAAGGAGTGAATGAATCTGCGTCAGACATTGACAACGAAGATTCTGAGTCATATCACCAATTGTCTCCAGCCTTCATTGGTTTTTACCGTCCCAGGACCCCAACCAGTCAGGAAGTCTACACCTTCCTACGTGACTGGTGTCATGTTTTGGTTTGACCATCGCTAGCTCTTTTCCAGCCTGACCCTATGTCAGTTAACATTGCCCGTCGAGGAAGGCGATGACTAGGCATACGTAACACATGTCCTAACCATCTCAGTCGATGTAGCTTCACAGTCTCGTCGATTGATTTCCCCTCCTTACCTAGCACTCGAACGAAGTCTAACCTCAATATTGCTCATCCTATTATACCACTTAACACGGGAGATAGAATTACAGTTTCACTTGCTGGCATATAAACTAATATTTATTATATGCGACTTAGCTTTAATATTCGCCTCTCCAGGTATGTTTTTCGGAGTGGATTTCCTTTTCTGATTCACTGCTCAAGAAGTTGAGTTGCTTAAACCAATAAGATGTAGCAACATATATTATAGTTTCTGACTTCCACTTAATCATTGTTCATCCACCAATTAGAGATACCTTTGGTATGGAGTTTAGGAAGTGTAATCAGGTTGTAGGTTTCAAAAGTTTGGAAATATCTTCCAATGACCATGGAAAGCAAATCTTATAACGTACGCAGTTGCTTCTCTACATTTTTGTGGAGTGTTTTATGCTATTATTGAGAGTGGCGTTTGATTTTAACTGGGTCATTGTTTAGTTTACGTAATTATCAAGAGCATAGGATCTTCATGGTTTCTTTTAAACATTGATGATGAAATATTTTGCATGTAAGTGTCGCTTACGCGCTAACTTCCAGCCAATGGGTTCCGGGTTCCAGACTATAGATGTCTGCATTCATTTTTGCCTACTAGGTGGTATAATATGTTCAGTAATAATGCAGTTTGGTGTATAATATTAGGTAGAGAGAGAAAGTTAGTCGATGGGGTTGTAAAGCTGCATTGATTGACATGGCTAAGACATGTTAAACATGTTGAATCATCGCCTTCTTCTACGAACAATGTAGCTGACATAAAACTAGGTTGAAAAAGAGTTATCAATTTTCCCTTGGATTCTGAGTGGAACACAGAGCTTCAGCAGTAACATTTCCATTTCATCCTGTCCTCTGAGGTCCTCTTTATCTGGCTCCACGATTGCCCATAAGCTCTCATCCCCTCTTCACACGATCTCTTCCATGTCAACTTGTCTTCTCATTCGGCTTCCATTCGAGAATCCGCCTGTAGTGTGATGTCACCCAACAGTCTCCTCAGTGTACTCCCGATTCATCTCCATTTCCTTCAGCATATTTGCTGAGCAATAGGGTTTTGGTTGGTTCATTCCCAGAATTCACTGTTGCCTATCTTATCTTCAGTATCAGGCGAAGGCAGTTGTTGATGGAAGTGCAGAAAGAGTTGAGGATGGTCAAATCAAAACCTAACATTATCAATGCATTAAGTCTTTGACTGTTACTTTGAACCACGCATTTTTTTTGTTCCTGTACGTTCCCAGTGGAACACAAGGCTTGAAGTTTCAGTAGCATAGGTGTTTATTTTTACAGGATGGGGTTGCTAGCCTCATGCCCAACTTTCCCTTTTTACTAGTCTTATTACTGGCTTAGTGGGGTAAAGGAGTGAGTCGGTCGGGGATCGAACCCTGGACCACATGAGACGTGGTTGGTGAGCATTCTATCGCTGTGCCACCGACGCACAAGTGTAAATTTGTCACTGTGGTCCTCGGAGTATTAAGAATCGATACGTGGAGGCTGTTGATGACTTGGCTAAAAATCATTCTCAATTACACAAATGTATTAACTCTTCATGATTTTCTAAATTCACTAAATCCTTATTATTCTGTATGTGTAATTAATTTTTCTAATAGTAATAATGTGAGTGACAACAAAAGTGCAATTAGTTGACGTAAATGGTGATAAGACTAGTGGAGATAACATGGAATTTTTCTAATAATATACCATCTTAATTGTTCTCCTCCCTAACATTTCAGTTTGGGTGTATTTTCACTGAATTTCGTTTCCTTACCTTTATGTGCAAAGCTCTACGCTGATAGTTCACTTCAGTCTCCTGGAATCAGGATTGGTCACGAGCTGACATTAGTTAGAGAACCATTGGAAAACCTGCAAGTACATTGACAGCTGTTTCGTCCCAGTTTTGGAACTCTTCATCTGTACACACCCACCGGGGCTTGAACCCCATGGCCTTCAGGTTTTGAGGTGAGCTCGTAGACCATTAAGCCACTGGACCCTACCCAACGGTCTATGAATTTCAACTTCTGATTCGTGATACATATTTAGCTCAGCCGCCGGCCAGTGTGACGGGTGAGTAACTGACCCCTCGCCTGACTTGTTTCTCTAACTGATGTCAGCTCCGTGACCAATCCCGTAACTAATCAAGTCGACACTTTTCTGGAATCATCTGTTGTATATATTCGAACCAGTTGAAGTCAGTAGTTATCTCATATAATCATAGAACAGGGTTCTTGTTAATACTTTTCTTGTTGTCAAAATATTGTCATAGTTGTCAACTATGCTATTATGTTTTCTATATTTTTTAGCCACCTGCTACTGGATTTCCATTCTTACCACCATTTATGCCACCTACAAGTACTTCTACAACACAAGGTACTCAACCAGTCTTTCCTCCTATGCCTCCTCCTTTGTATATGCCACCTTTTATGGGTATGCCTGTAATATATCCTGGTAAGTTATTGATATTTTCTTTATATACAAAAGCTCTAGTGAATTCATTGTGTTATAAATTATGCTATTTCACAGTATCATATAGTGTATTGCGTAGAGGTTACTGAAAAGGCTCATTTTTTTTGTTAAGTTTGAACGTATTCAAGTTGTTAGTGACATTGGTAAAAGGTTCATTTTCCATGTTAAGAAACTATGTGGAGATTTTCAGCGATTCAGTTAAGCCATCTAACATTTTTTAAATCATAGGGGGAACGTTAGCTGCTAAATTTTGTACTTCCACAACAATGTATATATATATAGTTTCAAGTCTGACCACGGATGGATATCAGCTAGGGGACTATTGAGGACCAGGGAGTACTGGACAGTTGTTTCGTCCCAGGTTAGGACTCATCGTCAGTGCCCACCCACCGGGGTTTCAAGTCAGGTACAAGTCAGGCTCGTAGACAATTCATCAACTGGCACCCGACTCAATAGCCAGCCCATGAATTCTACCTTCTACCAATTGGTGATTTTTGCGCGACTGACCACCAGCCAGTGTCATCGTGCGTAGGTACTACCGATGAGTCTCAAACTAGGATGGGACAGCTGTTCAGTAGTACTCCCTGCTGGCTTTCAATGGTTCTCTAATTGGATATATCAATCAATACATGATCGAACTGAAACAAATCAAATCCCTACAAACTAACTCTTGAAGACTTATATGGGTTAGGTGATTGTGCTTATTTTATTATCTAATAGTTAAATTCATAAACTCATCTTATCGACTCTTGGTAAATTGTCCGAATGTTACTCTTATCATTTGAGCACATTAAATAGGTGGGGGTGGGTTCCGAAGTTAATTTTAATGTAGTGATGGATAACGAGTTAAAATTTTTTATAAAAGCTTTGCCCTATTCAGGTAGGTAGTTACCTGGGGTTCTAGTGAGAAGTCGTGACCAGTAGGGTGCAGCAGGTCGGGTGTGAGGACAAATACTCGCCGAAGACATTGGCTAGGGTTCGCGCTATGTCGTGAATTGGCAGAAGTTGGAATTTATGGGAAATTGGATCGGGTCCAAGTGACTGGATGGTCTACGAGCTCGCCTTGTAACCAAAAAGTTCCTGGGTTCGGACCCCGGTGGGTGCGTACTGTTGAAGAGTCCCAAACTAGGCTGACGAAACAGCTGTCCAGTACTCCCTGCTGGTTTTCCAATGGTTCTCTAACCAATGTCAGCTCATGATGAAATCCTGTAACCAATCAAATCCTTACAAACCAGCACTTAAATATAAAAGCTTGAGTTATCCACGAAATAATATTGTTTTAATGATTTTCAGAGAAATGAATGATTCTACTCAATGGAAAACTTGTATTTTTAGTTGTTGCCTTCATTATAGTATTGTGTGGCATAAGTTGAGATGACTTTTGGAGTGCTTCTGAACAGTTTAACAGTAGGATTATCTGGTTCAGATTGAAGCTAATAAATAGAAAAAAAGTCTAAGCTGTTAGTTGTCTTTCTTGTTTTTAGTTCAGTTTTGGTTTTTCCCGTGATCGACTTAACCGAAATGTTCAACCTTTGTTGTTGACATGTCGACTGCTAGTATGGACGACGCTTCGACGATGTTTGAGAATTTTATCCTCATAGCCCAAGTGGTCCAGCGGATAATGCTTTGGCATTTGTTTGAAACGATGGGTACTGGGTTCGAGTTTCAGTGGGAGAACACTATCACTCACTCACTCACTCACTCACTCACTCACTCACTCACTCACTCACTCACTCACTCACTCACTCACTCACTCACTCACTCACTCACTCACTCACTCACTCACTCACTCACTCACTCAGGAATATGAAGGTACAGCCAGCTAATGACTCCAAAATAGAACGAAATACACATTCTGGATTCCATTGCTAGTCACCATCCACTAACTTACTATGTTGACTATGTTTTCATATTTGATCTTTTTTCTCCGTAAATTGTCATTTCATATACGGTGATATCTACTTAGATTCAAAGGCACTACAGAAAGTATCGATAGATATGACGCTTACAAGTAGTATACTAAATTGTGCTTCATTGCTTCACTAAATTATTTACTAATTGTAGTGCGTCGGTGGCGCAGCGGTTAGGATGCTCGCCGACCATGTACATGGCCCGGGGGTCGATCCCCTGCTGACGCACACTTGATACCAATGGTCGGCCTGCTAAATTTGGACTACCGATATCACATTCTGAAAATTCCATATTTGTATCAAAAATACTGTGTGGAGTCAAGCTATAATCAAAAATAAAAAATAAAATAAAATAAACTGGCATTACCAGGGGATTATATAAGAAGTTCAGACAAAACCAGTCATTCTTCAAGTTCCAGACTACATGAAAACAAGTATATGCATTCTAAAGTCTCTCGAAGACCACTCAGACGGCGTGCAGTTCTTCAGACTCTGGTTCTTCATCATCTGATTCGTCTTCTGGCACATCTAATTCCTCCAAAGCTTCAAAGAAATCTAATCGTGGTTCAGCTATGAATGTAAAGAATCCTAACTAACGCCCTCATGTATCCAGTTGAACAAGTTCTGTTCAGGCAAAAGTCAACGACAAAATGGCGTCTCATAAATTACCTGAATCTTCTGAGTCAAAGAAGAAGCTCAGTTCACTGACATCAAAAGATGAACCTACTAAGTCTGATTCAAATGCGAAATCAAGTTCAACGGATCATATTAAGGTCTCTGAAACATCTAGGGTTGCAGGGTCTGCACTAGAATCTGCACAAAAATCTAATGAGAAAGTGACCTATACTTCTAAAACCCGGAATCTTGATAAATCTTCACATAATCCACCTAAGTCAAACAAGGAGACCACTGTAGGAAAGCATGTTCAAAACAGTGACGGCCCTACTGAAGGTCAGTTCACTCGCATATTAGTCGAGAAGTTAACTATCAATATAACAAGAGCCCATATTCAAGAAACATTCTCTGTGTCGGGCGAAATTCATTTTGTTGTTTTCATCCAGAATTCAATCGAGGATATGGCTATGTTGAGATGACAAATAAATAGACAAGAGGTTAGAGTTTCTGAAGTTTATTCGCGTCCATCACATACAAGCGGTCGTGGAGGCCGATCGAATGAACGAACAAGCTATCACAAAAGGAGACATGATTCATCTAGGCATTGTCGTGAACGATCACGTAAGCGTGATGCGCATTCTTCTAAAGGATTAAATGATTCCCCTGGCACAATCGCATTAAAGAAGATTTTATTTAAAAAAATTCGTGTAGCAATCATTCATGGACTCATGACAGACAAGATCGTTCGCGGATACATGAACGCAATGAAGATCGTGAGCGTATTAAAGAACGTGAACGTGAACGGCCACGAGGTGGTCGCTCAGATGGTATGGACAAACCAAAAACAACAAGTAGACGTGGAAGTAGTGGCAGTCCATTTGCAAATCGTTCAAATGATCGATCGCCCTCGCTCTCTTCTTGCTAGTTCGCTTTATCGTAGACCTAGTCCTCCAGGTGCTCGAACATCTGCAATGCGACCTAGGTCTCAAAGTCCTAAACAAAAACCACAGTTAGGATCAAGTTGAGATGTAAAGAGTTCAAATACTAGTCATCATGATAGAAAAGCCTCGTCCCTTTCATCATCCTCATCTTTTTCTAATTCAGGATCATCTTCCTCATAAAGTTCTGTTTGTGGTTCTAGCTCATCTTCAAGTTCGAGTACTTCTCGTTCTTAGCTACGATGTTTTTTTATATCACGAAACGATTATATAATTCTCCCAGTCTGTCTCTCTGTCTGTATTCAACATAGAACTTGGCACCGAAGTGCAGAAGTTCGAGTTGCCACGTTCTAAATAGCACACAAAGGTAGACAAGAAAATGAGTGAAGAGAATCAATAGAGTTTTGACAAGTATAAGAGTGAAACAGAATGAGTAATGGTAGAAAGAATATGAAAGATTACAGAGACTGAATACATCTGCGCCATTGACAACAATTTTGAGCTATGTCACCTATTGTCTCCAGTCATTGATTCTTAGAGTCCCGAGGTCCCCAACCCGGAAGTCTACATCTCCTTACCTGACTCAGTTTAACTGTCAAGGATTTCATGGATTGACGCCATGTTTTTGTTTGGCCACCACTTACTCTTTTCCAACCTGCACCTATATCAGCTAGTAATGCCCGTCGAGGTGGGGGAGGCGATGGTTAGGCATGCGCAGTACGTGACCTCAATCTATGTAACTTTATAGCCTCTTCGATTGATTTTCCCTCTTTGCCCAACACTCTACGAATAACGTCAACATTACTTACCTTATTATACCACCTAACAACCTTTCTGCCATGGTAGGACCTCAAGCGACATAAGTCTCAGCCAGTATAGCTTGTCGGGTCATTGCGGTGTTCAAGCCCGACCACCACGTCAAGGTAGCAGCTTTCGGTCGGGTATTCTCCCAGTAGTTCCATTCTATGCTTTCGTCATAGTATTACTGCAATTTGTAAAGGTGTGTGATAATCGATCATGATGTTTTTAAACAACAGATCTGAATATATATGTTCCACACATAGTTCTAGACACTTTGACGGTGCTTTCAACTGTTAAACAGTTGGTGTAACTTACAGTCAAGTACGCTAATCCTATACTGTGGATTGGTGGCCAAGTTTCAACTTTTGTTTCCGTTCGTTCCTAGTAGAACATAAGGCCTAAAGGTTTTTTTGAAGCTTCATTAGCGATGGTGTTCTCATGGAGTAAGGTTGCTAGCCTCACGTTAAACCTTGACTCTTTTCCAGGTTTTCTAATGGTTAAGGGAAGTCTCGCAGTTCGTCAGTTGTGAACTGAACCCAGGTATCCTTCGTGGTGGATGAGCATAGGCTTTTAGAAAATTGATGATAGGTTTAAAAGTCAGCTGTTGTGACTGATTAACATCAGCTAAAATCCGCTAGAAAAAGAAATACTGGAATCTGTTTCGTTCCATCCTAGTTAGGATTCCTCATCAGTAAACACCTACTCATCATTGGGCCTCAGTAACTCTTTAATTAATTTTGACTCGTGGTACAAACCATTTTAAAGTGATACAAAGTTATATTATAGATAGTCATATTTAGCATTGCGATTATATTATATTGTATCTTTTTCAAAGTAACCGTTGTCGTGAATCCTTCTTTCAGGTAATTTATTTCCTAATGGAAATATTCCTATGCCAGATCCACCGACAGGACTGCCTGCATTAGCTGATGAAGCTCGCCTACGTGCTAGTATTGAGGCTCGTTTCACTGCTTTGCGTCAGATCAGTGTTCTGCTAAATGCAGCTGTTCTACAGATGAATGCTTACCTTAATGCAGCTAGTTCTTCTTTGAGTGAATCGGAGATAAATGCTTCTTCTACTAGTAATACTGTTCTCAACTCAGTTGATGTGCAGTCAAACAAGGATGAAAAGAAAAGTTCAGATCAAGATGCCAATACACAGTAAGTTATTTCCAAGTAAATTTGAATTCGTTAACTAGTACTACTTGATTTTATTTTTTTAAATATTCCTTTACGTTCCTAGTGGAACATAGGGCTTCAAGCTATAGAGGCTTGAAGTTTCTGTAGCAGTGGTGATTATTTTTTACGGGATGGGATTGCTAGCCTCATGCCCAATCTTTCCTCTTTACCAGTCTTATTACTGGCTTAGCCAGGTAAAAGAGTGCGTCCAGTGGCCGGGGATTGAACCCTGGACCACCTGCGTGTTCGGTGAGCAATCTACCGCTGTGCCACCGACGCACTTGTGGCATTATGGTATAATTTAAAAAATCTTTTTTATGGAATCGCAGATCAGTAGGTTTTAAGGATATTAAATACTCACGAGAATAAATAATCCGATTTGAGGCCATATTTGAATAAGATTTAATTATTTAAAATGAAATTAGAAATGAGCAATTAGATGCAATATGATTTGTAATGTATAAGGTATTTGGTAGCCCAAGATTTAAGCAGGCCGCCAAGGTCGTATAAAAAAGACAAAAAAAGCATCATGCCGGGTGGCAAAGAGTCTTACAAAATACCCCTGTTCAATTTAAGATTGTTCCAGCAATTATGAATACTAATTGTCGTTCCCTGCCAGCTAAAATAAACTGTCTTCAATCACTCGTGTCTTCCATTATATATCGTAATACTGGGATCATATCACTTCAAGAAACATGGCTACATGACCTATATGATGACAATCTAGTGTATCTGACTGATTTCAAATTATTCAGACAAGATCGGTGTAGTTCCAGGAAGAAACGCGGTGGCGGTGTCGCCATCTTCATCAATTCACAATGGTGTACATCTAATAATGTATGTTTCAAATTCTCTAGTGACAATATTGACTGCCTCACCGTTAACTGTCGACCTAAACATTTGTCAAAATATAACTACATATACATCTCGAACATTTATATTGCTCCTGGATGCAATTCCACAGAATTGTCTTTATTTGCGGATGAATTTACCTCCCTTGCTGCCACCTCCTTCGGAAACTCCTTGTCTATAGTTACTGGAGACTTTAATTCTAGTGACCACAGCTTCCTTATTTCACTTGGACATGAAAACATTGTCAACTTCCCGACTCGACTGGATAATACTCTTGATCTCGTGTTTACAAATGACACAGGAATATTTGAAGCTCGAAAAAGAGCCCCACTACTTAATTCTGATCACTGTATCATAAGAATATTGCCCAAAGTATATGGAAAGCAGCACAAAAGGGTCTTCTCATACCTTGGAAAGAAAACACAACACAGATGTTATTCTCATGACAACATACAGAATCTAAGGATCATGTTAAAAGACACAAACTGGGACTTGTTTGCTGAACAAGCTCTTGATAACACAATTACTAACATAACACATTATCTAAATTTCTGTCTTGATGTTTGTTGTCTAAAAGAGACAATCTTCTTAAAATTGGACCGCTTCTCCTCTTCTCAACTCAAAAAGCTTCGCCGTGAAAAAGAGAGGTTGTACAAAATGAAAAATAAATCTGGTGTTAAGAGAATGAACACTTTGATCAAAGCTGAATTACAAAGATTAAATGCTCTCTATAACCAGAAGTTTCTTTCATGTAAATCCTCATCTAATATGTTAAAGTTATTAAAGGAAGGATACTTCTGTCGATGTTGATATGCTTAGTAAATCCTTCATATGTATCCCTGTAGATGTTATGATTCCTAACTCTAACAGTATAAATAATGACTGTTTCTCATGCTTTAATACGGTCTCCAAATCCTCAGGATGCTCGGGGGTGGGTGCCTTGCACTGCGGGTCGGCCACCCCTCCGCACACCTCTTGAAATGCTCCCATATGACCGGGCGTCTTACATAGCCTCTCCTGAGGAAGTCCTACTCACTGCCTTCACGTTGTGGAGGTGTTTTTCACCAAAGTGAGAGGGCGAAAGCGGATGCCCAGCGCTCTTCACCGGGTTGACTGTCCATTGGATGACAGTCTGGGGGAGATGGCTAAACCCTGATTCCAAACCTCCAACGACTGGCGTATGAAGCTCACTGGAGCTCATCGGCAGACGTATGGACAAAGGGCTTGTTGGATGTCCTGGATGTCTGGCCCCATTCAAAAAGGCGTATGAACCGAACTCCGGTCACCGGCTGCCAATGGATAGTGGACTCCGTACTCCACTCCTACTGCCTTGTAGGTCACACTTGGTTGTGTAAAGGCTAGAGCTGCACTCTCAAACAAAAGGCCGAGCGATTCTGGGGACATCACTCGTACCAAATTCCCATGAAACTTCATGAACTCTCTTGATTCGAGATGTTCATGAAGCCGGCTCATCCTCCCGTAGGAGATAGCCGAAGTAAAGTAGTAAGTATGCTTTAATACGAATGATGTCCTTAAGTGTCTTCAATCTCGCAAACCTACTCAGTCCCTTGGTCCTGATGGTGTTCTGCTGTTATCCTTAAGAAGTGTGCTGACATCTTATGTTCCCCATTAACTGACATTTTCAACGAATCTTTTCCCTAAAGTATTATACCTGACTCATGGAAAAATATCAAGATTGTTCCAGTGGCTAAACCAATAAGTGGACCTACTGTTAAGTTTAGACCCATTGCTATTACCTCACCTTTTTTGAAAGTTATTTTACTTAATCTTGAACCCTCTTTAAAGTCTTTCAATGGCCCCAACCAGTTTGCTTATAAACATAGTAGGTGTACCTTAGATGCCGCTATTGTCTTATATCATAATATAGTCCCTAGTTTAGATAGAGGAGCTAAATACGTTCTTCCTTGATTACACATCTGCATTTGACTCTGTACCTAGGTCTCTCTTGCTAAGTAAGCTTGCTGCAACACAGGCTGAGAGCTGGACAAATTAGTGGTTGCATTCCTATTTTTCTGATAGGAAGCAGTACATTGTCCACAATGGAAAGTCCTCCACTACGTCACTTACTTTAGCTGGTGTTCCTCAAGGTGCTGTTCTTTTTCCTTTTCTGTTTTCTTTTTTCTTACATGACTTGCCCCATTCTGATGTAGCCACTTTTGTTAAGTATGCTGATGACCTCTCTGTTTCCATGCCTGTCAACTCTCAGTCAGATTGTTCCAAATTAAATAACTTTCTGTCGGAAATTAGTCAGTGGTCCTCTTCAAACGGTCTTAAGCTAAATCCGTCTAAATGTCAGGTAGTCAATTTCACTTTCAGACGAAAACGTGACCTACAACAAATAGCTAGCTCACATGGTCCCACTATCATTGACGGCATAGAGGTTAAAATTACATCTAATTTCAAATCTTGGACTGAGTATTTCCTCCGATCTTTCCTGGTCCTCTCACATCTTGCTAGTTACTAGAAAGATGTTTCACTTAACGTTCTACGTTAGGAAGTTAAGGCAGTCTGGTATAAAGCAGTCTTTGCTTTCTCAGTTTGTCAATTCTTGTATTCTACCCATCCCTCTTTACTACTCCCCATTAATCTTTCCTGGACTACTTAAGAAAGACTTTGCTTTGCTGAGAAGGACACTAAAAGCCGTTAGTAGGGCAAGTGGTTAATACTATTGTGGATAGACATATAATGTCATGTAAGAAACTAGCGAATACCATATTGTGAGATCCTGAACATCCTCTCTATACTTAACTCTCTCCTTGAATTTCATCTGGTAGAACTAGAAGCAGCTATAGAAGGCTATATTCTAGGACTACCAAGTACAAAAACTCCACAATACCTTATCTGGCACAGCTGTTATGTGATGAGAAATCCATTAGGTATGACACGATCAACTTACTGCGGCACTCTAACAATTAGTCCCATTAGTTTTTGTTTTCCTTTCTTCATTACTATTATGTTGTTATTCACATCTTCTATTACACACTAATTTTATATATCATATCCTGTGGTGCATTGTTTAAAAATGTGAACGCAACGCTGTTCTTTTTTTCGGTTGTTGCTTTTTGATTTTAAAATCTTATAAAATTTATGAGGTAATTAGATGCAATATAGTAATGCACGCTGAAAATTCCATACCTGTACCCCAAATACTGTTTGGAATAAAGCTGTTATTATTATGATCATTATTATTATTCAGCCAATGAGCTACCTCTCCTCATGGCAACCTTAGTGGGTTAGTACAAACGTTGCAGTTTCCTGGCTAGGTTGCAATAAGAATAATAATAGGTTTATTCTGAGCAGTGTTTATGTAATTTAATTGGTGGATGGTGACTTTCAGTGGAATCCAGGTTGTGCCTTTCGTCCTATTTGGGACTCGTCACCTGGATGTACCTGCATTTCTCAGTTTATGATGATGTCATCCTGAGACCGAGCACTGCGGTCCAATCAATCGACGGTAGAATCTAAAATTCAATTAAAAGTGTTTATGTAATGTAGAGAATTATCAGCGGAATTTACTGCTTGATAGTTTCTGTTTGTCCGATATCTTCAAGTCAAATAGTGGTTGGCTGTAGATGGCGTGATACATCCCTGTCTTCTGACCTGAATTGAAAACCAATCCCCCTTCAATGATATAGTCTTCTTTCTCTGCTTCGAAGTATGCATGGCGTTTGATTGAAAGCTAATAAAGAAAGGTGTAGGAGTGTATTTTTTGACCCAATGACATCACAAATGGCTGAATAAATAAAGATTGCAAGTAGTTAGTTTTATTTATCAGGCAGTGACAATTTGTGCTAAAAAAATCTCCGGCACAATTGGAATACACTGCCGCCCACCATTGTGAATCAGCAGGTTGTAGACATTTTAAACACTCGCGAAAGTAGAAAACGGCATTACAGGTCATAGTTTTAATAGAATAAAACCCAAGGTGAACAAGAGAAATGGTGTTGTTCAATAAAAGGATAGAGTATTTTTGGTAGCTCAGGTTTCAAAAAGGCCGCCACGTGACAAAATTAAAACTTTTGAAATAAGAATCTTCATAATCAATATAAAATAATGAAAGGAAGCAAATCTTCACTATTTTTTTGTGGTGTGATACATAGTTCGTGTTT